TCATTATTCTTTATTGTTGCATAATATTCCCTTGTTTGTATGAACCAAAGTTTCTTTAACCATTCCTCTGCTGATCGCATATAGGCTATCCATCTTTTTGCTATTGTGAATAATGCTGCAGTGAGCATGAACATGAATATATCTTTTCATGTTATGGCTCTTAGTTCTTGAGAATATATTCCAAGGAGAGAGATTGCTGGTATTTCTATTTCCAACCTTCTGATAAAGTGCTGTATCATTCCCACAGTGGCTCTACCATTTTACAGTCCCAACAGCAATGTAGGAGGGTCCCTAGTCCATAACCTCTGTGAAATCATTGGTTTCTATTTTTTTGAATTTTCTATTAATGCTGGGGAAAGATGATATCTCATTCCTGTTTTGATTTGCATGTCTCTAATGGCTAGTGATCATAAGTATGTTCAATGGCCACCTGGGTGTCTTCTTTGTTGAAGTGTCTATTCATGTCCTGTGCCCATTTAAAAACGGGATTATTTGTCTTCTTATCGAGGTGTTGAAGTGTTGTACACATTTTCAAAAGTATGTTATTGCCAACACTTTTTCCCAGTTTGTGGATTCTTTTTACTCTTTTGGGGAAATCTTTTGATGCACATAAGTGTCAATTTTTTAGGAGGCTCCAGTCTATTTAGTCGTCTACTGTTTATGTGTTTTCAGTTATGTTAGATAGTATATTTATGCCATGAATCAGAGCATCTAGTTTGTCTCTATTTTTTCCTTGATGACCTTTATAATTCTAGGCTATGCATTTAGATCTTTAATCGATGCTGAGTTCACTTTTGTATACGGTGTGGGATAATGGGTTTTGTTACATTCTTTTGCAAAGACTTTTTTTGCAAAGAATGTTTTGCCAGCACCATTTGTTGAAGAGACTGTCTCTTCCCAATTAATGTGTTTTGGTCTCTTGTGATTACTCAATTGACCACAGGTGGATGGATTTACTTCTGGGTTCTCAATTCGGTTCCATTGATCTATGTGTCTTTCGTACTTCTAGTAACAGACTATTTTGATTACTGTGGCTGTTGACTAGGTTTTGAGATCAGAAAGTGAGAGGCCTTCTATTTTGTTCTTCTTTCTTCATAATGAATGCTTT